CCAGCGCAAAAGCCGCAAGTTGGGCAGAAATGAACCTTTTGTGCGTATAGCTGTGTCAGGTTTCAAGTAACGTGTAGCAACGGCTTTGTACACTGTCAGGTTCTGTCAAACGTATCCATTATCGCTTGACTCGTTAGTATCATGAGACTGTATGAGGTCTTTGAGTCCTTTTGCGATCCTCTGACATGAATGACATCTGTGCATTTCCCACATCTTCGACGCTTGCGAAGGTAATCTTGACCTCTCCTCTCCCCACACCCCCCCCCCTTGATCCTTTCTAGTTTTCCTAGTCTTTCAACCTTTTCTAGAGCGCTTGTCTTGTTTTGGCCAGGATGGCCACATTAGATGGCGGTGACAATGATTTACCGAACGAAGTATGAGACATAAAACATATTGCGTGGCCATATATTACAAAAAGGATGTGCGAACGGGAATGCCTTCATTCGGAAAGAAAATCTCTGAGCCCAGATTTCAAGGAAAGTGAAGACCCTGAAAGATTTGAAAGAAACTATCAAGTGTGTTTACTGGCCATGTCTTGAATATGGGAATGAAAAATATTTTTCTTTCAATGATACGTGGACAAAAGAAAACAAAACGGTAAACAGTTTACAGAAAGAAACATTATAATCATTAACTTTGTGCTTACTTATCTGCTCCCCATTGAATCCTTTTGTGATATTTTATGCGATATCTATTTGTAAAAAGTCTGTGTTAATAATTAAATTAATCATTAATTTAACAAATTAATAATTAAAGCAGAAACGTCTTTAAAAAGTAGGTGGGATCGGGATTTCCAGGCAGAAAAAGGGCGGGATAGCAGGATTAACAGGAAAAAATGGGCGGGAAAGCGGGAACTGAGAACCGTATTGTGGACCCTCTTTTTAATTTTTGGCACGAAAATTCTTTCCAAACCTCTCACCGGTTTGTAGTTTTTCTTACGTGTCCGATGTCGCCCGACCTCCGCATGGAAATAAAATGTCGAAATTGAGGCCTGAAGCGTTTACGTAAGATTCAGCGATAACAACTGGGAGCTGGGGAAGGATTTTGTAAAGATTTGTCAAAAAAAAGAAAAAAAAAATGTGTGGGAGAGGGAGGAGAGCGCAAGCGCGCGCTGGATGACGCGTATGGTACATGACCCAACTTGTACCAACGGACGCGAACGAACCAATTTTGCGTAATATTACCTCTGACTCCTTATTTCCCAGCCCTCTTTCATCTTTTAGACCCGGTCCTTTGCCTTTGCAATGATTGGAAATTCCTTCCAGAACCCTTCCCCTGCTGCTGGACCCCGCGGGGGAAACGTCCATATAAAAATGACGCGGTTGCTTGTCACAACTTTTAGGGGTTAAAAACGCCATTTGGTACCTCTTAGGGTGCTTAGTGTCAAAAGGTCCACAGCCGGGAGCTTTTGCAGTACCTTTTAGGGTATTGAGCCCAAAAAATACGACTTGAGATTATGTGTTATGTAAGGGTTAGTGCAAATGAATGTATGAAATATCAAATATTTGAACTGCGGAGAAAGAGATCAAGACATGATTGATCATCGCAGTTATACACACAACTTAAGCAGTTGTGAAATTAAGGCCTGAATTTTTTTCAGGCTTAAATTTCACAACTACTTAAGTTGTGTGTATAACTGTGATGATTAATCATGTCTTCCAAGCCACGCCCACAAAACAGGATCTTGGTACCCCAGGGGCTCTTTTCAAAATTTCCGACGAGCAACCCCGTCTTTTATACGGGAGTCCCCTCCCCGGGGCGTTAAACCTTCTGCTCCGCCCTAATCCAAGTTTTGTGCGATGGTTAGGACATGTCGTCACATGGTGCGCAAACTTTCCGCTTTTGGTGAACTTCTCCGCTCGGCATAAAATCAGCTCGACTCGGTTAATTTATCACTAAACTTATGATTGTTGATATCTTTATTGCACGAAAGCAACGGAACAATTTCAGTTTTACGCTTTCGAGCTTAAGTGTTATTATATAGCCTCAAACTCCACCAGTATAGCTTTTAAAAGAACAACAGTCCTCTATTTTCTGTTACAAACATACCAATGCCTAGCCACTAAGCAAACAAAATACGCCAAATAAAATGGCATGGCCAGGGTTTGTTTACTCAAGTAATTACTAATTGAATTTAGTCTGTGTTTCTCACGAAATAGACACGTTATGATTTATTTCAACTAGCTGTAAGATTGTGCTGCGTCAACACGCTTATTAGAAGTGGTCAGCAATAGATCAAACGTAATATTTTGGCGCAGTGCAAAGCAAGCAACTATCAACAAATGACTTAGCCGTTTTTGACTTAGATGCAGTGGTGATCATATGCGCCTAGAGATGGTCACAGATTCATGGTATTCGACTGATAATAGGTTGACAGCCCGGGGGGGGGGGGCACTGCCATATAT